CTGACGTCAAATACAACACGGCTTTTGTCACATCCATGGGCTCACCCACCCGTCCCAACGGGTACTCCTTGGCCTTACCCTCCAAAAATTCATCCGATTTTGCTTTATTCATGTTAAGACAGACTTCTAAAAACTCGGTCTTCACGGCACCGGGACTTTCATCGGAAAAAATATTTAATTATCATGCACATTAAAAAATATCAAATATAAAATTAACAAGCACATTAATTTAATTTTAATCAATTAAATATAAGCACATACTTGACAACGTTAGCCCGGATGCCTTTGGGGCCCAACTCGAGCGCTACGCACTTTGTGAACATATCCAGCGCCGCCTTTGACATTGAATACAATAGCCCTCTCTGTTCATACATTTGTATTAGAATTTTATTTTTAAAATATATATTCAAACAGGGTCATTCAATAAATATGTAGGCAAAAGATGTATGACAGATGAGTGTGATAGCTAAAACATACTCACATAATGTTATAAAAACTTAATTTTATACTATAGTATTTTTAATGCATTTTTTGTGAGCACATACTTATTGATTGTTTATAAATAAATAGTAAATAAAATAAATGTTTTATATATCGACATAAATACCGGTTTAAAGGCCGCAATGCTCGACACGTTAACGATATTACCCTTAGTTTTCTCCAAATGCTCGACACATAAGTGAGTCAACCATACGACTGACCGGAGGTTTGTGTTCATAATTAGCTCATACTTATCGAGGATATCCTCGTCCCATATGCTCGACACTACACCCCGACCCGCGTTATTGATCAAAATGTCCAACTTTTTGAATGTCTTGATAGTATCGGCCACTAATCGGCGACAGTCGTCATCGTTGGTGACATCGGCCACCACTTCCAAGGCTTTCACTCCTGTAGGCGACGCCTCAGCGCACTGTTTGGCCACAGCGGACACCCTATCCTTCCTGCGACCGGTGACTACCACTTGAGCCCCGAGTCGAGCGAACTCTACGGCAGTGACAGCACCGATGCCACCGCTCGAGCCGGTGATCAACACTACTTTGCCCGTGAAATCTCTGGAAGTCGTCATAATTTTAGACTAAAGTAAATATGATTTTTACAGTAATATAGAGTTTCGTGTTAAATAATGAAATGATCTTTAAAATTTATTCTAGCACAAACAATATTTTCTAAAAGTAATGTTTTCATAATGATATTTCGAAATAATAGGCAATGATTTTCATAAATATTTCTTGCTAATACTTTATTATTAATATCGAGATCATGCTTTGTAATACAATATTGAGGGTCTAAAATTTTCGCTGTCTCTAAGGAAAATGCTTCACAATTAGACATAATATACTATACAATTGTACATGTATTATATTTTTACAATGATGTTACAATATAGGGGCATACAGAATTTTTTTAGAGAATCATCTTATATAGAATTTATTATATTTATAGCTATTTCAAACTTAATTAGTTAATATAATCAATAAGTATTATTTTTAGAAAATGTAAACCAAACCATACGACATGTCCTTATCATTGTGAATTTAAATTGCATGTACTGAATTAATTAAAATAAAATACAATTTTTAAATTTTAATATCAAAACAATTTCCAAATTGAAAGTCTTATCAAAAAATATCTATATATTATAAGACAGTTAATACCCTTTAAAACTATTATAACAATAATCCAAAATAACATTTATTGCAATTTTCGTTGTTTTAAATAATACAGTAATACTAGTAATGTATCAAATTGTCAATTGTTTCAAATACTGCTGACTCTTGGCGACCCACTCGCCCATCACTTTCTGATCAAATACATTGAATTCAGCAAAATATGGCAAATCAGTGGACAGGGAAGTGAGCCAACGTTTCAGGTGTGGCAGGTCCGACAAATCGTACTGGGTCATCAATAGTGGCACACTTGTGACCAACAGTGCCAGGTCTGCGATAGTCAAGTGATCTCCCGTCACATACTTCTTATCGCCGATCAATTGGTCCGTAAGTTTCAAATTAGTCTTCAGTGCTGTGATCTTGTCTTCGGGCGGATCCACACCACAGAAAGCCTTTTGTATCTATTTTATGGACAAATATATCATTAATAGCTAAATAAATGATATTTTCAAATAAGCATCATTATTTTAAAATCACATACCACTCCAGATTTCATGGACTCCATGAGCGATATGTCAAAGTTGAGCCACCGGTCCACTATAGCCCGCTTTTTGGGGTCCCGCGGGTATAGAGTAGAGTCGGGACCGTATTTGTTGCACAAGTACTGCATAACCGCCCGACTCTCCCATAACACAAACCCCTCGTCCACTATAGTCGGGATCTTATGACTCGGATTTAACTTTTGGATAAAAAATTTAAAAATCATTAGATTTTAATTTATTTTCGGATACTTTTTTATTTGCCTCATTTATTCAAAAAATGATATTCTCATAGATATTAATTTAATCTACAAACATAAAACAATTTAAACTAATAACAGAGCGGTTTTAACATTTTATTTATTAAGCGTTAATAGAGTATTAAAAATTATATAAATTGCAAACCAACTTATCATTAAAATGAATAAATCAAACTATCAGTTAATATATATACCTATTATACGTGTATTTTAATTAGAGACATACCTTAAGAAATTCCGGCTTAAACTGATCCCCAGCGCCGGGATCTGTTTCAATGACATTCAGCTCAATGTTGAGCTCCCGGGCAGTCATGAGGACAGACCTACAGAAAGGACTGGCATAGAAGGAGTAGATATCGATCGGCATTTTCGGTCACTTCGGGCTCAAAAACAACTGTTTATATGTAATACTGTTATAAATTAGAGTAAACTATCAGTAGTTAAGTGTTAAGTATGAGAGAAAAACCGTTTATATATACTATAAATTCAACACAAACTCAAGGACTTATGATTCTTACATTGATTATGATTGAGTGACACGTAGGGCAACCAAGTGTGTTGTTTGTGCATAATAATTTGTTAATTTACTTTCAAATTAATGGCTGAGAATTTTAGTTTATAACACCAATTTTAAGCAAAATTTCTAACTATTTAGGATGTGCTATAAAGTGGCCTTGATTATTGTAAATTCTTATAAATCTTTAACAAACTTGTTAGCACAATTAACAATAGCTTTACTATTTTATGGGCGTATTAACATTATTAGTGCTAAAATGTTTCACTGTAACCCCAATATAGTGTACGGTATAATTTACACTGTTCATGTCATTTGCTATTAATTTTAAAATACATAAAATTTATTGCTCGGATTAAATACTGAAAAATAAGATTAACATTTGTTATATTGAATTCAATATAAAACAAATAAGCAAGCAATATTTTTATAATAAATAAACAATTTACGAACAACATAAAAATTTAATTTATTACACTATTAAAGTAATAAAATATTTCAAATATTTCTATAATTTTAAATAATTTCCTAAAACTCATAATTCTACAAACTTTTAATTTTACTAATGGTATAACGGTATGAATTATATAAATTTACAGTAATATTATACTAACAAATATAACTATTTAGAAAATGTAAGTATAATTTGTTGACAACTGATTCTACATTGCACTAAAATCTAATCAACAAATATCTATTATTAAATATCACATATTATCTCACTATTTGTTAAGTCTACCCACAAACAGGTTATCACAATCAGTAAACCTTGGGAATAATAATCAGAATTTATTGCCCATGTCTGTACATTTAGAGTGCATTTAAGTTTATTTATAAATAGTATAAATATATTTTTTTAAAATGTGTTTATGAATCACAACTTCTAATATAATAATATTATTATACCACAAATTATTATATCTAAAAATGCCAATTGATTTATACTATTTCCGTGTGAGTGCCCCATCCCGGGCCATACTAATGACTGTCCGACACTTGCAAATCAATGTAAACCTCAAACACATAGACCTGACTGAAGGTCAGCAACATTCAGAGGAATTCCTAAAAGTACTGTATTTACTCAATAAGTTTTGCTATTTTAATGCAATTTTAGTTTTAATGAAAATATATTTTTACAATTAATTTAATTTAATTTTAGATCAATCCAACTCACCAGGTACCTGTATTAATAGACAACGGATTCACTCTCTGGGAAAGTCGTGCAATCATGCAATACCTGTGCAATGAATACGCGCCCAACAGTTCCCTATACCCTACGGAGCCTAAGGCACGGGCACTGGTAGACCGTTGGCTCAACTTTGACTCTGAACTGTACTCTACTATTGATAAACTTCTGGTATTATAACTCATACTAATATTGTACCAGGATAATTTATACAACAGAGTATGATTAAAAATATTAAGCCTATGTTATTATGTATGAATAGATCGATAAACTGGCGAAAGGCGTTGAAATACCTGAAGATGTGATCACTAATTATAAGAATAAGCTGAAAGTGTTGGACAAACTAATCGGTGTTAAGCTGTATCTAACGGGAGATCAGTTGACAATCGCAGACCTGTCCCTATTGGCCACCACGACATACATCGCGTGGTCCGAACAGTTTGATTTCAATGATTACCCAAACTATAAGCGTTGGAATACACGGCTTAAGTCAGAGCTACACTATTATGAGGGTATTAATGGCATTACACGGGAGGACAGGGATGCGACTATGGCTAAACTCAAAGCCAGATTTCAATCATTTCGGATGATTTAATGTTTTACTTTATTTACATTAAATATGATAGAAACGGTTATACTTGATGTAAAATTATTTTTTATTTATTTTAACATTTTTGACATTTAATTAAATAACTACAGCTCACTATTGTTTTTTTAGTAATTTTGTAAAAATATTTAGTCAAATACAGTAGTTTTTCAAACTTCATAATTAATAATTAAACATTGTAATAACAATTTTTGTAACATGTTCAATTAAATCGTGTTATTTACCAACTATTTAACTTTCTATTGATATACTTCTGACTACTTTTAGCCCATTCCTGCAGTTTCTCGGGCGAGAAATTTTTCAGATTTATGTCCGCAAAATAGGGTAACTCCTGGGAAAGGGTGGTCAGCCATCTCTTGAAGTTGGGGTATTCACTCAAATCTGTGCCCAAATTCAGAAATATGGCAGTCGTTGAGAGCACCGCCAGGTCAGCGATGGTCAGGTGCTCGTTGCCGGTCAGGTAGTGGTTGTCACCAATGGACTCATCCAATAGTTTCATATTGTTTTTGAATGCAATCACTCGCTCAGGCAGTGGGTCGACACCAGTGAACGGTTTCCGCATCTGATTATCACAACATAATTATCAGTAAATGTTTAATTGAACAAGATCACCTTAACATACCACTGCATTAGCTATTGATCCATTCAATGTCACGTCAAAGGACAGCCAACGATCTACCTGTGCCCTGGCTTTAGGCTCCTTAGGATATAGGGAGCTGTTGGGAGCGTATTGATTGCACAGGTATTGCATTATAGCACGGCTTTCCACTAATACAAAGCCGTTATCATTGATTGTCGGGAGGTTGTGGTTAGGGTTCACCTGTTCATTCAATTACAATAATTGATTATTTTTAAAATCATACATTTTATTATAAAAGTTTAGGCATAAGTTAATAAATATTGTATTATAATTACGTTTGTATTTAAAATTAGCAGTAATTTGACAAATACCTTAAGAAACTCGGGCGACCATTGTTCAGGACCAGGGTTAACCTCGATTACATTCAAATCAATGTTGAGGTGTTTAGCAGTCATGAGTACAGACCGACAAAACTGGCTTAAATTGAACGAGTATATATCGATCGGCATTTTAGTTATACTGGAACAATTATTTTAATTGTAAATTAAAAATATTTTTAGAGATATTTTCAAACTCTAGTTAACGGTTGCAAATACTTTTCTCAAATGTGAATCAAAAACATAAGGTTATTACATTTTATAGTATATGAACACATTCAATTTATATCCTTGGGAATATATCCCGTCATTATGACATTTACATATTGTATACTATAGACTCTATAGTATAGAGTGTATAGTGTACTGTACAGTGTATGCCTACTGTATCATAAAATATTCACACGTATGTCACGCAATGTTTACAATAAATAATTTTCTGAAAATATTTATTTAATTAAATTATTTTATTTTCTTGTTTAATGTATACAATGTCGTCATTTAAATGTAGTACATTAAATGTACTATAATATAGAGAAATACGAACAACATTAAATAATGTTTTAATACAACAGATATAATTGTATAAATAATGAGCACTTGTCGTAAAAATGCACTTAAAATGCACTTACAGTAGTAGTACTATTGAGAGCTATAGGAGCTATGGCTCTCAACACTATCTGACCACCCAGTACATTGATTGCTTATCACTGATAAGTTATCAGTAATGTTTGTTTAGTGCCTGGATATGGATGAAACATAAGCGTTTGATGTTAGGCACAAACTTGTATGCAGTTGAATGCGGTCTATGAGTACTACATACAGTGCGAGTTGCACTACAGTATATGCAATGTAGTCATTTCCGAAAAGATCAGGTTCATTACTTTTATATGGTTAACTTTATAAAAATTAATAATCTCTCATCATTAAGCCATTTAAAGTAAAAATAAAATGTATCCACTTTGGCATGACAATGCTACTCCTAATAAGTATGCACTTTGTGAATTATCAACAAAGAGTATGTCCAGGTCCAAATTTTATATTCACGGAATGAATTGTAATTATTATCATATTGATATATGATGCTTTTAATGACAAATTATGAAATATTAACTTTCTAACTGTTTCGATTAACGCACTAGGTTGTTTTATATTCTTATAATTAAAAATCAAATAACAGGAAAACGGTATGATATATTAAAATGATTTCTTCACTAAATATATTAGACAAATGACGTTCATTAAAAATAGCAAAATATGTTTTGATAATCAATTAAATTGTAACGGAAAATGATGTTTAAAAAATATAAACATGAATTCAATACTGTTACCCTTCAAAACCCAAAACTATGAAAAATTGATTTAATAGCTCTATTAGTCTACTACAACTTTATAAAGAGAAACCTTTGGGTTATTTGGGGTAACNGCAGTCAAGTACTCGTTGGACATAAAAATTCAAGATTTCTTTACCTATACTATCAAACGTACAGAGATTATGATAAGGATCAGTGGTATTATAACGGGGGTGAGTTACCCACCAAACGTATACTATATAAGTGGCCACACCTCGTGCACCGGGTTATCCGTGAGTTCGGTGTGGACGGACCGGCAGCCTGTCCTAAGGTGTACAGAGAGTACTACAATAACTGGAGGCAAGAGTTTTATACCTTTCATCTGGTGCTGAGGGGACAGGAAATCAGTTTTAAGGACTGGTGTTTTGGGAAGAACTACCCGTCCCATGTCAAGTTTTATGAACATAATGTCACCCAGTTGAATGTTACATTTGGGGTAATGGCTGCCGAGGTGTTAGACTTTGAGAAACAACTTAATTAACAAAACACTTCATTAATGAATCACTATACATTCCTATGATTATTTGTTCATTGTTTAATCTTTTAAATTTAGCAGGTTAATTTTCAAACATATATGAGATAAATTTAAGAAAATAATTATATACATGTATAAATTGAATTAAAACAAAACACAAAATAGAAAATTTAATTATAAAATACTTATTTTGGTTAGTTTTTCGTTCTTAATAGGCTGCTTTTTCATTTATATCTATGATATATATATATATATATATATATATATATATTTAAAACAAGATTGTAAATATATTGTACAATAAATGTTGTAAAAGTTAATAAAATAACTAAAAAATAGATTATATAATTTTCGAGACTTTATTTTTCGAGGTTTAGATGTACTCCCTTTGTAACTTCAAATAACACATACAATCTAATACTTTCATGGAAGGGTCGTCCACTCAGTATACTGTACAACCAATAATAGATGTGAAACATAGGCACACCTCCATGAACGACCCCTCCATGAATGGATAAGATATGTGTTGAGTTACACTGTTTTATAATTAGGAACAGGAATCAGTGACAGAGAAAGTGGTTTTAAAATGAGTTTGGTTTCATATATAACTGCATGTCTCTGCAAACCAGATAACTTATCAGGGATTAGTACACTCCAATAAAATGGTACATTATCTGACCACGTGCACCTGGATCAGGACATAGACATGTTAAGCCCAAATTGCCTTAAAAGCACAATCACTATAATATATACGGTATTATGAATTCTGTTATATTATATAAAAAGTAAACTTAAAAAACATTTTAATAATGCTTTAGAAATTAATCATAAATATTAGTTATGACTTGATCTGGTCCTAAATTTGGCGGTCAGTGCATCCCTTACCTCCCGGGGTATATCATTGATCTCTTTATAATAGGGCAGTTCAGACATCAGCCGTGAATCCCAGCGCTGGAAGTTTGGGAAGTCATTGAAATCAATGATTTCACACCACTTTATGTAGACAGTGTGGCCAATAAGGACAGGTCGGCGATTGTCAACTCATTGCCCGTTAGGTATGCCTTATCGCCGATCAATTGATCCAATACTTGTAGGACTTCCTTGAATTTGGTCATATCATCTGGTGGTGGGTCCACACATTTTTCAAATTTGCAAAACTATTTATAAATTAAAAATTTTCATATAATTAAAGTTACGTTTAATTTACGATAAATGTAATACTAATTGAAATAAAATTTAGTGCATTACTAGTACTGTCAATAATAATTAGTGTTGTAGATAAAATGTGTAAAAATTCAAACAAGGCCTTTACAATTTGAATAATTTAGTGTAAATTACCAAAAATTTATCAATAGTTGTACCCAGACAAAAGTCGATATTAATATAAAAGTCGACCAGTGCCCGCTTTTTAGCACAGCTAGGATATAGCCCACTGTCCGGTGCATATTGGTTGCACAAGTATTGTATGATAGCCCGACTTTCCCATATTACGAGCCCATTGTCGTTGAGTACGGGAACGGTATGCAAAGGACTCATCTATTTTATTGATTAAAAAATATTAATTAAAATATTTACAAAATAATTAAATCAACTTGAACATACTTTCAAAAATTCTGGTTTAAACTGTTGCCCTTCAGTGAGGTCTATATGCTTGAGGTTTGCATTGAGTTTCAACTGACGGATAGTCATGAATACGGCCCGGGATGGGGCACTCGTATAGTAATAGTAAATAGTATAAATCAATCGGCATTTTACTATATGACTTGACGATTATCAAATAATTTTACTTAACATTTATAAAAGTAGCATATACTGTATATTTAGTGAGGGAATCCTGTGTTTGTATACCTGACCAAAAAAATCTATTTTTGTACCATTGAAAGTGATTTCTAATAAATTCAAAACTTTTTAAAAAGACCATGTCAAGGTATTACAAATTGTCAATATAATTTGGTGAAATTAACAAAATAAAATAAGCTTATTAAATGATATATAAATATGTAAAAATTATTTTTGTAACTTCAATAGT